TTGACAGCTATTATTGGCTACTTGATGGTGTTGCTATTTTTGTCCAATACCATCCTGTTTTCTGCGAGAAAATTGCGCCCTTCTTTTCTTTTACCCGCGCGGTGTGTGAGTACATACATATGCTAGGAGGACTAAGAAATGGTACTACTCAAGAGAAAAAAAATGGTCTTGTATGTTCGAAATGGCGTCGAAACAGATCAAGAATACGGACGGAGCGAAGGAGGAGCTGAAGAGGCTCCGCAGTACAGCCGCCGCCCTCCAGCTGGAGCTTGTGTGGGAGCACTTCCGGCTAGGTGGAGGGGGGTGAGTTGTTCCGTCCCGGCCGGGATGCTGCCGTATCGTTTTTTTCGCCTGCGGTACGGACTTGCTATGGTAGATTTTGCTCCCGCAGTGTCGGGACGTTCTCTGAAAAACGTTCTGTGAAAAACGTTCTCCGATTTCCGAAGTTTGTTCTCCGAAAAACACGATCTCCGAAATTTTTTCTCCGAAAAGAGAAGACGAGGAAGAAGGACAAGGTCTTGCTTTTGCTTGCTTTTAGTCGCGAGGTCGAAACCCTTTTTTTACGGTAGTTCACAAGTCCCTTCAGGAGATTAGGTTTATGTTCCCAGCATAGAATAAACCCACTGAAGACAGTTCTACTGTGCAACGTTTCATGCAATTTCTTTTCTCAAGCCCCTAGGGGATCGAGTTTCTGTCCCCATTGTTTACCCGCTGAAGACAGCAGTTCCACGACACAACCAAGCATTCTCCTGAAGCTATCTACTTCCTACGCAATATTTTTTGAGCCAGGCCGAATGCCCCCATGGCGGGAGCGGAAGGGGGGGGAGAGGGGGGGGGTGACCCCGAGGCCACCGGCGGGGCCGCCGGGCTTGGACTGAGCCCAGACGCACAGGCCGAGGAGGTGTTGGGGAGGGAGGAGGTGAAGAACTATCTCAAGGTGGTTAAGGTACGTTTCAGTTTGTTTTTTTGTGTGCGTCTGTTTGGTTGTTGATCACTTCGGTATGCAGTTGGATAGTGAGCTTTGCCGTCCTGGCTAAGAAGTAGCGGGGTTGCTGCCGCTCCTGCTGTCGATGTCGGTGTTGGCGTCGGCTGTTTTGTCAATTGGCGCTGCCGTCGCTGCGGGTGCTGCCGCCGTTGCCACCACAACTGAAGCTCCCTCATGCTACTGTTGCCGTAGTTGTTGTTGATGTCAGCCGCATGTACTACGGCCTCGCCGCTGCTGCCGCCGTGCTGCATGCCATCGTGCTAAGCCCTACGCCTGTTGTTGTTGATGCCAACATCTGCCGTCGCTGCTGCCGCCATCCTATATCCCATAGTGTGCTAATGCAACCATACGGCTGTTGTCGTTGGTGCCAACGAATATTCGCCTTTGCTGCTACCTCCTCGCTTCATGTCCTCGTACCGAACCTTACGCCTGTCGTCGTTGATGCCAACGTATCGCCGCCGTTGATGTTTCCATCGCGATGGCCATCGGTCGTTCTCACAGGCGAGAGTCGCTGACCTCGTCCGGAAGCGCCAGACCGCGGGGGTGCCCCTCCTGCTGGGGCCGGGCCTCGCCACTAGCGATCCTGATGGCTCGAGCTCGGCCGCTGGAGGTGCCAGCACCACCGCTGCTGCTGCTGCTGCTGCTGCTGCTGTCGGAATTCGCAACAGTAATGCGACCCGTCGTGTGCTCGCCGACAGCGGCGGCAAGGGGGGGGACGGCGGAGTGCGCTCTGGTGGGGGTACCGAGGACGCTGGCGGGGGGGTTGGTCCTCTTGAGGGCGAAGAGGTGATGATGAGCTGACTGTGGTAGGGGACGGTGTTGATTGCTCGGTGATTTGGCTTTTTTTTTTTTTTTTTCGGGATGGTCACGGCGTTTGTGTATGGTGCAAGGCTTCAAAGCTTACGTGGGCACGCGCTTGCAGCTGAAGCACCACACCACCCCCAAGGGCAGGAATCGACTGTGCCTTGCAGAAACTTGAGACCAGCAAACGTTTGCATGGACACATCAAAACTATGTTTCGCAGGTGGGACATGGATGGGCGGTGGCGGTATCGAAGGGGGAGAGACAAACACACAGAAGAGTGAAAGGCAAACAATTGTAATATTTTCAAAATCGGTTGTGTGCTCGAAGAAAAAACGTATTTCCTACACCCTCGATATACTAATTAAATAACATTTTGTTTATTTTCGTGGCCCCTGGCTTCCTTCCGTTGTGCAGTTGGAGCACGATCCAGAGGAGGAGCTGGCGGTTTTGGACCAGCTTATCGAGTGGCAGAGGCAGACAGGGGAGTACGGGGACGCAGCCAAGTGAGTCGATCGATGATACAATTGTAGGCAGTTTGTTTGATTCACACATGTGGTAGTTGTTGTTGTCGTTGTTGTTGTTGTAGGTGGTGTTGATGCTGTTGTTGTTGTTGTCGTTGATGTTGTCGTTGTTGCCATTGTTGCGGTGAGTGAAAGCAGAAAGGAGGAGGATACAGCAGTATCCTCACAGAGCTCGAACCAGCAAATCTATTGGCGGTGCCGTTTTTTGGACCCGACATCCTTTTGTTGTTGGTGTTTCTTTTTTTTTTTGTCGTGAGCACGCCTTTACTCGTTCGTTTTTTCATTTTTTTTGCTACTGGTGTGTGTTTTGACTTATTTTTGTGGGTACAAAGACAAATGAATTTCTCGCAACCCATGGAAAAAATTCCGGGATAATTATCTATGAACTCGTTCGCAGTGTTGTGTTTTTCACTCATTTTTTTGCAGGGAGAAAGAAACGGGCCTGAATGAACTTCATTCATAGTGTTACGTTTTCCGCTTTTTTTTTTGCTCTTTTTGCAGGGAGGAAGAGAAGCGCCTAAAAGAGACCGACTGCCAAATCAGGGAGAAGGAGT